GCGCTCGTTGCCACGTCCCCACGTTCGCGCAGGGGCGAGCGCGCCTGCCTGCCGCTGGCTGCAGCACAGGGTGGTCACATTCACTGTGGGAGCAGAACAGATGGTGCTCGCCGCTCTGGTGAGCGCCGGGCCGGCCTGGGGGATCCATCTTGTGCTTGAAGTTGTGCTTTTGCTGGAGGCGGAACGGCAGGAGGTGGCTGGAGGGGAATTTCTGGTTTCTTTCCTCACCCACTCCCTGTCTGCTGTCTGGGAGGAATCCTGAGGAAGCGCCACTGGTGAACCCTCCTCTCTGTCTTACCGGCTGAGGGCCTGGGGAGCCGCTTCTGCGCCCCGTGCTCCCTGCGCTTCAGATGAATCCGTAGAACTCGTTTGCCTTCCTCCCGCCTGTTCTTGCGGTGTCTGAGCACAGACGGGTTTTGCAAGGGAACCCCAAATTAACTCTGTTCAAGCCAACGTGTCTGCTGGGAAAGTGGCTGCCTGGCAGGGCTCTCCCGCCGCGGTCGCTCGTCCAGCTCCTCGCTTTCACCCAAGCATCGCATTGCGTCTTGCTTGTGCCCTGAGCACCTCCGACCTCCCCCCGGCAGGGGTGGGGGGCTTCCTCCACTCCGCTGAGCACAAGCCATTCTCCGCATCCAGCTTTTGCATGCAGAGGCAGCCCGTGGTGGATCAACCTGTGATGAACCTTTGGTGCGTGTGTGGTGGATACTCCTCGGGGAGAGCGGTCGGGGGCTTAAGCGTGGCTGCCCTGTAACCGCTCCGCACAGCTCAGTGGTGACGCACGCCATTGCACGACAGCGTTGTTCAGTTTTTTGACGTAGCCACACCTATTTTTTTCTTACTCCTCTTCCCAAAATGGTTGCTGGAATGAACGCTCAGCACGAGGTGCCCAGATCGGGTTTAATACCGTGCTGCGGCTGAAACCCACCACGCGCAGAAACATTGGGCTGCAAAACTTTCAACAGCCGTTAAAGCCGTGCTGCATCTCCTGAGCTCCCCGCGGGGAGACAGCGCGTCTGCCCCCGCGCCCACGGGCGATCTGAGTTTAAAAGCAGGGTGGTTTGTGACAGATGGCGCAGGACGGGGAGGAAGGTGAGGGGAGGCAAGCTGCTGTCTGAGCTGCTGACCACACCGGTCTGCGGTTTGCAGGTTGTTGAGCGGGTGGGTCTCCATGGTCTCGGCTATTTTCTCCTTTTGCCACTCTAGGTGCAGTTGCCTGACACGGCTACGAGCGGGTGACACTGGGCGGGTCCACGCCGAGCTGCAGCCTGGCGTGCTCTCCTGCCTACAGCAGGAGCAGCTTTGGCTCCTCGGCGGTTTGCACAGCACCGGCCAGGCCCAGGCGATGCTCGCCACAGGGCGTGTGGGAGCGCAGAGTGGCAGAGCCCCAGCTGGTGTGCTGGAAGGTGGAACACGGAGCGAGGAAAACCTCCGAGGAGGGAGCAGAGCTCGTTCCTGCGGCAGTGCCGGCACAGCCCGTCCTGATGTCCCCGTTGGCTCCGGGGCATTCTGCAGCCCCTTTGGTGCTGGGTGTCCGCAGTTCCCCACGCGGGTTTGGTTGTTCCCCGGTAGTTTCTTTGTTAATCGGAAGGCAATGTGTTTCCAGCACAGCACTAAATGCTGTTTCCGGGCCAGTGCCCCCATTTGCATTAGTAGGTGGTGGACGGGGGGTGTTCCGTGTGGGAAGGGCAGGCAGCCTTCTCGGGATGAAGGTGGGAAGCATTTCCCTCGGTGCCCAGCAGCCCCTCAGGCGCTGAAGTTAACTCTCTACTTTCCATGCTTTTTGACCATTCTGTGCATCCCAGGTTAAGTTTGTCTGTCTGTCGCTTCCAGCTTGACCTGGTGGACCTGCAGAAGGAGCTGGATAAAAGCCAGAGCGTGTTCCCCGAGAACCCCTCAGTCTGGGTGAAGGACCTGGCCAGCTATCTCAACTACAAGCTGCAGGCGCCCAGGAGCGACCCCATGCTCAGCCAGCACCCCCACGGTCAGTGGCGTTTGACCGGCCCCCCTGCGGGGGGGGCTTCACCCTGGGGCTTCGCTCTGAAGTGGCTTTGTGCGTCGCAGAGGCGTGCAGAGCCACGGGGCAGGCGCTTCTCCGTGGCTGGGCCAGCTCAGTGTGGTCTTTAAAACCCCACGGAGCCAGGCGGTAGGGGGGCCAGGCACGGGGAGCAGCTCGGGACAG